CCTCAGTTTTGGTCAAGCGGTGATTGGCTTCTTCATCACGAGAACGCACCAGCGCATGCATCGAATCTTGTGCAACAATATTTGACGAAGCACAAAGTCATACAGCTCCATCAGCCTCCGTACAGTTCTGATGTAGCTTCTTGCGATTTTTGGTTGTTTCGAAGATTGAAAATGCCACTCAAAAGACACCGATTCGACGATAAAGAAACGGTCGAAACTAATACGACGAAAGCTCTAAAGGCTATTCCGAAAAACGAGTTCCAGGACTGTTTCCATAAATGGAAAGGTCGTTGGCAGAGTATTCTACAATCAATAGGGCACTACTTCGAAGGATGCCACCAGCCTGATGACGCAGGATAACACCAGCAGAGAAATATGAAGGAAGGTCGGATACTTTTGGGACAGACCTCGTATGTTGCTCAAAACTAGTCTGGAAGATGCAATTGTTTCATACCACACTATTTCATGAATATTTATTGCAGCAATCAAGAAAATATTTTGCGCACTAGCTATTCACACAGTTACACGAGTAAAAGTATTAACTTTTGATCAAGCTTTTGTTCGCTGAAGGTGACAATTAAATCCCGATTCATCGATGAATATTATTTTTTGTCTTTTCTCCGAAGCGTTTCTAGAAAACTGTAATGCATAAATTTAGCGATCACTAATTGTTCTTTTAGAATTCTGATAATAATCAATTTGTAATGATGCAAATTATAATGTGAACGTAACTTATTTAATTTATTTCTAACGTGACTTATACTTAATTTTTAATCTTGAAATTTTAAGATTAAAACGATAAAATGACACTGTTCTACATCACTTTTGAATTATCTATATGATGAATTTGATTTGCGAAGAGATGAATTTGATCCGTGAATGGGTGCACTTCATTTGCATACGAGTGAATTTGATTTGCAATATGATGCATAAAATCCACAAATGGGTTAATTACAAATGCAAGATAATGAATATGATCTACAAAAGGATTATTCTATCGCGTAAAACCTATGTATGTATAGTAGTTGATTTGGATAATGTGGTTGTTCGACTGATTATTATTTTGAATATTTCAAGTTATAAGTTTATTATTTTATATATATTGTTTCATTTATTATTGTACACAAATTGTTTTATTTATTATTTTACATAAATTGTCTTATTTATTACTTAATCCAGTATAGTATAGTAATAGAGTATAGTATTCCTTTATAACCGGTCTAATCTACTTAAGCAGAAGAAAAAATAAGCAAATAAGTGTATTTGTGTTATGACAAAGCATGAAATGTACAAATTTAGTCGCTAGAAATAAATATTGAAAAAAATTAAAAGATTAGGTTTGACAGGAATATACCCCAAATATATCAGTCGAAAATCTTGTACACTTTATGATGAACGTTCCACAGAATAAGAGTGTTTCATTAAAATGGACAAATTTATCTTGATCTATTGAACAAAACTACATTTCAGGTATATGCAGAAGATTGGAAGGAAAATAATTAGTTAAACTAATATCTACAGATTTTTAATTGCTTTGATACTTTGATAGTTCTGCCTTGCACATGTATACAGTCTCTAGCCATCGAATTAAAACCACTACAAATTTTCAGCAATTTTCACGTTTTCCATAAAACTAAAACGCCTGTTCAAATTGTAATTATATAATTTATTAGGTATCAACATGATGTACTCTTACTGTACATACCATTACTAACACACGTTAACATTTTGTATTTTCATCTCTTGTTTTAGTCATAGTTTGTATCCGACATGCTCTGTATACATTGATCATATACTTTATATCTTCATTATTTTCCCAATTATCCGTAATTTTTTTCAACTTAAATAATGTGGCTGGAGAGTTGTAAACTAGTCTTTGGAGTAGGCTTCAGACATTTTCTATGGCATTCACCAAATTTCACCTCATGCGCTTTCGATATTCGAGCCCAATGTAAACCCTTGCACAGCCCTTAATCACTCATCACCCATACAATTTAATTGT